ATAGCTGTAGTCAGGCCATGTTCGTTTTGAGTAAATGGCTTTTCTCTTCCTCTTTTGGTCTGAAGCTTCTTGGAGAACTTTGTATTTATGGTGACTCCAAATACAAACAGAAAGTCAAATTTTAAAAAGTTAGGTGGTGTGGTGTATATTAATGTGATTTAATTAAAATATGTTTTTAAATATGCCGCTGGAAGAAATTGAGCAACAAAATCTTAAAGGCCTTGTTGTGGAACATGACAGTGAAAATTCCAAGTGTTTTTATTTGTTGTGACTGAAAACAACACATTTACAAAATAATAATTCATACATTCACAACACAAGTCACATTTCCAAAATCCAGTTTGTCAGATCGAAACACAATTCATAAATACACCACTCCGATTGGTAAATTCAAAACACGATTTAATAATGAACAAATCCAATTCGGAAAATCAAAACACAATTCAAAAATGCACAAATCCAATTACTAAATTTAAAACTCGATTCAAAAATAAACACATTCAATTCGTAAATTCAAAACACAATTCAAAATTGCACAAATCTAATTCATAAAAAGAAAACACGATTCGGTAATACTCAAATCCAAATTGTAAATTCAACAATTCATAATATACACAAATCCAGTTCATTTGGCAAAAATATTTATCATTTTTACTTGCAAATTCACAAATTGTGTTGTATTTATGAATTGTGTTTAGAATTTAGGAATTTAGAATTTTTGTGCTTGTATGAATTTTATTTCGTAAATGTGTCATTTTAGAGACTGATCTGGCTTCATACTTAGCTCACAGTTGAACTACGATAGTACAATACATAATTTAGGAAATGTTTTCCAAGTGTTTCCCCCAAAACCGTAATTGTTTTGTCGCAGATTCGTTGGTTAAACCACGTTAGTTATAATGTAAAATGTCCGTAATGACGCTTTAAACAGGACGGTGTAGCAACTTTTTTACAGAAAATCCGTATGAAATTTTCTGGGGTTTTGTTTTGTACAAATTCTATTGTTTTACATGTGCATATTTTTTTTTAAATCCAGTATTAGTTTTGGAAAAAAACATGCATTTGTTTTCAATGTAAATGGCAGAAATAGGGCTACATTCACAATGGCATAAATAATTTCAGTGTGCACCACAAAAAGAGCGCTATTGTCAATCTGAAGTTCTGTAAAAAAAATAACTCTAAAAGAAAATTACATGTGAGAGAGATATCTTTAAGCATTATTATTAATCAAGTGTGATGTGAATTATTAATTAAGTGGATGTTGACTCCTTCAAAATGAATCGGACATAGGTGGATAACTTGGAATAAAACACAACCAGCAGTGTGTCACAGCTCTAGAAGTAGATGTAACCACACACATTTGATATGCAGTTTGCGAATGTTCGTTGGAACAACAGATTTGGGAAACACCAAATCGCTAAACTATAATTGTATCAACGAAACTTGTGACCTTAGTTGGTTAAAAATGGTTTTCGTAAACGCACCACAGGTCTGGCAGGAGTACTTTTAGCTTAGCTTAGCATAAATCATGGAATTAGATTAAACCATTAGCATTGGAGTGTTCATTTAAATCAGACTTTGTGTTGGTTAAAAAACAAATATTAGGTCCTAAAATATGGCATCTTCATTGATAATTTTTTCACACAAAAAATCTGCTAAGTCACAGTAGCTTATTTCAAATAGTAAAAAATTCCATAATTAGCTTACAGGGAAAAAAATGAGAATTTTCAATTGGCTCTATGTATATAAACAAATGTATTATGTTAAATTGACATGTCATCTTTTTTCTGTATATAAATAAACTAAATGATTAATATTTTAATCTATAATTTAATAATATTTTAATTAGGATTTTAAACACACATTATCAGAATCACTACAAAAACAAACATACAAAACACATACGTATTAATGGCAAATCCAGAAAACTTATAATAATTTTGCCCAAAAATATCCCTGAGCTGAATGCACTATTTAATTTTTTCCTCTGCTTTATTTATTAATCTTGTCACAATGGAATAACCAACATGAGGCAATTGCAATGGCCCATAGTAGGCCAATATTTACATTTATTTCACTTGGAATATGATTCAGCACCATCATTCAACATTATTTGCTCTCCCTCTGTCTGTTCCGGCTTCTTTCTTCCCACAATGACTCAATATACGAGTCAAAAGAGGATATAAACAATGTTCTTCTCTGTTCCCTTTTTTCTTTATCCCTCTTTCATTTGTCCCGCTGTTACAGTGTGACTTCCCATCAGGCCCTGTTGACATTCTTGCCACATTCCTGTGTTCTAAAAAAAAACCTGGTTGTTTTTAAACCAAATTTGGGTAACAAAAAATTGACAAAGCCAATGGAATGAAACAAAATTTGTGTAAGAAATAAATGTATAAAATGTGTAACTGGGATGGTACATTTTTAAGTATACAACTCTTTCGGTACTAATATGTAAACTCTGGTACTAATATGTACCGATATGGGCTTTTCAGGTACAAATGTGCACCAAGTGACAGCTTTTGTACCTTTATTTCTGAGAGTGTGGGATGAAACAAGTCAGCATTTGTGGACATATGAACAAGCAGCATTGATGCCTGCATTAATAGCAACCTTAAGTGTTAGTCCTGTTTATGGTGCAAATAACACTTGATCCCCGCTCAGCCATGTCAAAACAAGATGTGTGGGGGTCTGCCTTTAAATGGTGGAAAATAGTTTGCGTTGATCTGTATCTTAATAATAATAATGGAAATAAAAAGTTTGTAAAAAAATATACATTTAAGAATGCCCCTATAATGGTTTCTAACGTTATCAATCCATAATCATGTCCAACAGGCTTTATTCAGTCTTTGGAAGATCTAGCTGACTGATAGGGATGCAAACTTGTCACAGTTCAGCGAAATTCACCATTTTATATAAAAAAAATAAGTTGTCTGTTGAAATAGCCCATTACAGTTAGAATGTAATAATTCTCGATAAACAATGAAAATTTAAATAAGCTTACAAAATACTAAATGAGATGTAAGTGAATTACGCATATGTACACACATACAGTAAATACACTCTCTGGCCACTTTATTAGGTGCACCTTACTAGTACCGGATTAGACCTCTTTTCCCTTCAGAACTGCATTAATCCTTTGTGGAATAAATTCAACAAGGAACTGGAAATATTCCCCAGAGATTTTGGTCCATATTGACATGACAGCATCACTCAGTTGCTGCAGATTTGTCGGCTGCACATCCATGATGCGAATCTCCCGTTCCACCACATGATGAGATCTGGTGACTGTGGAGGCCATTTAAGAACTCATTGTCATGTTCAAGAAACCAGTCTGAGATGATTTATGCTTTATGACATGGCATGTTATCTTGCTGGAAGTAGCCATCAGAAGATGGGTACACTGTGGTCATAAAGGGATGGAGATGGTCAGCAACAATACTCAGGTAGGCTGTGGCATTGACACGATGCTCAATTGGTAGTAATGGCCCAAAGTGTGGCAAGAACCATTGATACAAGGCAGGATGGATCCATGCTTTCATGTTGATGCTATTTTCTGACCCTCCCTTTCGAATGCCGCAGCCAAAATTAAGACTCATCTGACCAGACAACATTTTTCTAATCTTCTATTGCCCAATTTTGCTGAGCCTTTTTGAATTATAGCCTCAGTTTCCTGTTCTTAGCTGAAAAGAATGGCACCCAGTGTGGTCTTCTGCTGCTGTAGCCCATCAGCCTCAAGGTTGGACATGTTGTGCGTTCAGAGATGCTCTTCTGCATACCTCAGTTGTAACAAGTGGTTATTTGAGTTACTGTTGTCTTTCTATCAGCTCAACCCAGACTGGCCATTATCCTCTGACATCTGAAATCAACAAGACATTTGCGCCCACAGAACTGCTGCTCACTGGATATTTTCTTATTTTTGGACCATTCTCTGTAAGATGGTTGTGCATGAAAATCCCAGTAGATCAGCAGTTTCTGAAATACTCAAACCAGCCTGTCTGGCACCAACAACCATGCTACGTTCAAAGTCACTTAAATCCTCTTTCTTCCCCATTCTGATGCTCAGTTTGAACTACAGCAGATTGTCTTGACCATGTCTACATGCCTAAATGCACTGAGTTGCAGCCATGTGATTGGCTGATTAGAATTTTTTGTTGGATGGGTGTACCTAATAAAGTAGCCGGTGAGTGTATATCTGTGTGTGTGTCTGAAACATTTCATATAAATAATATATATTTTAAGTTATTTTATAAAATGGTCTGTGTATAATTTGCACTCTGATGCCAAAAATATTGTCTTGATAGCTTCTGCATGCTCAAAAATCAAAGATTTTTATGTAACTTTTATCATTCGTTGACCTTTTAGCACTTGGCAGCTTTTTAACATAGTTTTGCATATTACAAGGATCAACTTCTAAGCAAATGTTGCTTTCTTCAAATAGGTTGTGAACCTACCATGCTTGTATTTGATGTCAGCAAAAATGTTCTTTGTAATTTTCTTTGGGTTTCATGGGAAGTTCTGCTAGAGGAGTCTGCAAAGCACAGAAAGCCCCTAATGCAACTGTAAATATAATGATAATTAGTATTCAAAACAGAAAGAACGGTGCCATTGTCCCTGAGGGCAGGAAGTGACTTCAAACTAAAGTAGCTGTTACTGGAAGCAGATTTAGAAAGAAAAAAAACACATCGTATAAAACATTTGATGAAGAGTCCCTGTCTCTTTCTCACACAGTGTTTTCTTCCTGTTCCCAAACTTTGACTTGAACGCTCTCATCTCAGAGAGACTTTCTGTGAAACGATAGGGAGATAAGCATTTCCCTGTACTCACCGACAGTGTAAAGATGAGTCATACACACCACTGTTTGCAAACCTCAGGTGAACGGTCATTCAATTACTTTTTGAACTGGATGTCTGACCGTGCATGTTGAATGTTCATGCCTTTTATCATCATGCATGTTTTGCTGTGTGTGTCTTAGTAAATAATGCATATGTTTGCATTTGCAGGCCTCTTCACATCGCCGTGGTCCAGGAGAACAGGGCATTGGTTGTTTGGCTGATTGAAATATTTCGATGTGCCCATAAAGACCTTGACATTTACAATAACCTACGACAGGTAAAGTATAAACAATACAAGCAAACTTCGGGAGGTTGGCATTAATTAAGTAATGTAGTAGGTATCAGAAACACCACTTTTACAGTATTTATTAATTTGGATCGATCAGTGAACTTGTATGTGGGCCTCAGGGTAACTGAAATCATTCAGATTAGTAAATTAAATGATGCATTATTAATTATTATTTACAATTCATTAAATAAAATGAATCATATTATTTATAAATGTGAATTAACTCAAATGCTTAATTTATAATAATTCTAAAAATACTTAAAGCATTAAAATATTGGCGTTTTTCACAATAACTCAACACTGACTAATAAATATTACATTATAAATATACATTTTAAATTTTAATGACATGATGTGTTGTGAACAAACAAATAACTGATATATTATAGTTATTATTTATGAATAATAATAATAATAGTAATCATTTTATTATTATTATTGTTATTACTATTATTGACATATGCATGTTTTCTTTAATAATTTTTACATATTTAACCAATTAATAACAATACTAATACAATTATTACTTTTATTATTAATAATATTTCTAAATAATAAATGTAATATATCAGTATATAATGTATATAATTATACAATATATTATGTATACTGACGAATATTACTTAATATAATATTAATATTAATTAATATAATATTATATTACTTCTAAAATTGAATCTAAAATTCTAAAATATATATGGTATTATACAATGATTTTAGATACTAAATACATTGTCATAATGTCATCATATATAATAAAATTTATAATTTTATTGTTATTATTATATATTAATCATAAATATTAAGTTTGTGTTACTCAATGCATCCCTACATTGGTATTTATCTAGTAGAAATGAAATGAAGTAATGCTGGTGATTGCTGGATTAAAGAATGTACTGCACAAAGAACACCAAAGAATTCTTGTCCCTGTGGGGCACATGTTAGTTTACTGTACTTTCCACAAATGTCTTATTACCTGTCACATGATACTTTTGAAAAGCAGCAGGAAATTACTCCTAGTGCTCTGTTTTATAAGTAGGAGCCATGGTAATGCTCATGGTTGTTATAAAGTTGTTCTCCTGGCCACCACAACACACTTAAACCTGTATCCTCTGCTTCATCTCACTCCCATGTGTCAGCAAACCTGTCGGACTGTTCCCAGGCTTTCACTTCCTCTTCTGGTAGCAATAACCCATACTGCCACCAGCCGCATTATCAATTACCGCCATTGCATGTCTAGGCAGACCTCAGAAATCACCTCAAATTCGTGTTAAGGTTTCACTTGACGTGCAGACACACTTTTTTCACACACACAAACACGAACGCTCGTAGATTCACAGGCAGCCGGCAGTTACCAGAAGCTGCGCGCATGTCTTCTCCGCCGGCTGAAACTTGTTTCTGTCAGATTGTTGAGGTTAACTCTTGTGTTATATCCTGTACTCAATTCTTATTTCCCCAGAAATGTAAACTGCACATAAACATGCCTTCAAAGGCTTTACTTGGAGTTCTGAGTAACTTTTTGTCGCAGCCATGGTTGAAAATTATTGTTTTGCCAATTCCAAATCTGAGATTAAATCTAGTGATTGATGTGAAATAAAATAGACAGGCACGACTGACTGGTGCGGTACCAAGGAAAGTGTTACTACAGCTGTCACTATTACTACAACTAGAACATTGTATGTGCCAGAATGACTTCTCTGTCTCGGCGACTATCTTTTGTTAGTCTTGTCCTCCCACATCTTTTCATGACACACTGACAATGACGTTTGAGTGTGTGTGTGTGCATATCTACTGTGTTTTCATGATAGGCGTTGCGTATTGTCAGCCAAGCAAGACTGCAGCCGATGGCTTGTTTGCATGGCTTCTCTGTGAATGTATAGTGTATAGGCGTGTGTATTTTTTTTATGTACTTGAATAAGCGTATGTGCAAACACTGTAAAAGCAGCTGGTGCATGTGTTTGAACTCAAATATCCACATTCCGAGAAGTCACATGACCTCCTCACACCATGGGTTGTTTCTCAACATACCTTGTGTTGAAGTTTTCAGGGTATTAAAAGGGACTTTCCCTTTCGCTCTTTTTCTCTCACTCTCTCTCTCTCTCTCTCTCTCTCTCTCTCTCTCTCTCTCTCTTTTCTCTCTTCTGCACTTTGTTAACATGCTTATCATTTTATTCTAAATGATGAAAATGCTCTTACTGTGTGTCACAGACATGTAGATATACTCATTGTATGACTTAGAACACAAATTGTAACATAGCATAGCTATTTTAAGACTCATTTCAAGTAAACGAACAATTCAAATAGTGACTTTTTACTTCCTTAATGCATGTTCCTGGTCTTATTGTGAACAGCTGTGCATGTTAATCTTGACAAAATAAACAGTGATTTATAATCTTAAGTATATTTTAAAATTTGTGTTTTTTTGTTAATATTAAGCAAGCAGCTGCCTTGCTGATAAATAAATAAATAAATCCTTACATTTATATAGTGCTTTTTTAGACATTCAAAACACTTTACACATTTTTACACATTTTTCTCATCCACCACCAGTGTGCTGTATCCACCTAGATGACGCAACAGCGGCCATATTGCGGCAAACCGCACACCACACACCAGCTGATTAATGGAGAGGAGACATAGAGTGATGAAGCCAATTATGATATGGGGATGGTTAGGAGGCCATGATGGACAGAGGCCTTAGGGTAAATTTTAGCCAGGATGCTGGGGTTAACCCCTACTCTTTCTCGAAGGACATCCTGGGATTTTTAACGACCACAGAGAGTCAGGACCTCGGTTTAACATCTCATCTGAAAGACGGTGCTCGCTGAGCAGTAAAGAGTCACCATCAATATACTGGGGCGTTAGGACCCACACAGACCGCAGGTTGACCGCCCCCTGCTGGCCTCACTAACATCACTTCCGGCAACAATCTAGCTTTCCCATGTGGTCTCCCATCCAGGTACTGACCTGGTAGCTTCAGTGGGCGATCATGTGAGAGTTGCAGAGAGCTACCTGACCAATAAAATAAACCTGCCTAAAGTAGTCTTCTGGTTTGTTAGTGTGGACAGACTGGTCCATTGATCCGTGTTAAATTGAGATGTAGACACTTTTAAGGTGGTCTGGGCTAGCAGACAAGATGGCCAACCAGCCTAAACCAGTCTGGGAGACCATCTTAAACCAGATAAGACCAGATTGTTTTAGACAGTGGTCACCAAACTTGTTCCTGGAGGGCCGGTGTCCTGCAGATTTTGGCTCCAACCTTAATCAAACACACTCGAACAAGCTAATCAAGGTCTTACTAGGTATACTTGAAACATCCAGGCAGGTGTGTTGAGGCAAGTTGGAGATAAACCCTGCAGGGACACCGGCCCTCCAGGACCGAGATTGGTGACCCCTGGTTTAAAATGTTGTTGTTTTTTTAAAGGTTTTTGCAATACTTTAGTTTTACTCACACTCACTTTAAGTCTGGCTAATGTTAACAAATAGCCAAATATCTATCTTGCTGGGGTGATAAATCAAAACCAGCCTAATATGGTCTGGAGTTTCTTTTAGCTTAGTTAAACTAGTCCATATTATAAGTTTTGTTAAGGTTAAACATGGCATCCAAACTACTATGGCGTCTTTGAGCCACAAAATCAGAGCATTTTTAAAAATGTAAGTTTGGAAATGCTGGTGTTTAGTGTAGACGCAAAAAGAAGTGTAGCTATCCACAATCACTCTCTGACGAGTCTTCTGGACTCTTATATGATCATTACGCAACTGCTAGACCACTAGAATGGATGCTGGAAAAAAATGTTTTCAGGGCAACTATTTTACCCCTTTTTCAAGATTTAAGATAAGTCTTCTGTGTCTCCAGAATGTGTCTTTAGAGTTTCAGCTCAAAACACCCATCAGATTATTTATTATATCTTTCAGAACATTGGATTTTCTGCTCTCATCACAATGTAGCTGTTTGTGTTGCCTGTGCCTTTAATACTAGTTCTACACGCCACCGTTCTCACGTGCCTGTCAGAGTGTGCCTCAATCTCCACCCTCGCTGCATCAGATAAACAGCACAGTGATGGACATGTAACGTCTGACACGTAACATTTGTGAGAAATACTACAGTAAGAACTTTCCCAATGATTATTTGATGTATTTGTTGTGGAGTTAATGAGGCGATGAGAACAATGAGTCACACACAATGTCATTACAAAGTTCACAAGCACACATAATGCGGACACACACACACAGTGCACATGTTTAACTTTGCACTCTTTTAGCATGCAAATGTGACAGGAGACATTAATATACACTTCTGTATGATATCTGTTATGTTAATGTACAAAATAATTAAATAACTGATTTAACGTCCACAAATCGGAATTAAAGTGTCTTGTTTTATAATTGTACTGACATACGGCTGGGCTGATAAATTAAAGACGTTAAAATTGCTATAATTGATTACAAACATGTACTTTTTTTTAAAAAGTTTTAAACTTGTAAAACTCATTCTTGATCACATTTAATGAAGATTGATGATCACAGAGAGCTCAACAGATCTGTTAGTCCCAGTTGCTTTGTGCACGTCCTGCCTTGTTGATATGATTATACGCGTTACTACGGAGACATGTTAATGCGTGGCTGTCAATCAATTTGGTCTGTGGCGAAACTGCACTTCTACGTCACGTTGTGGTGGACCTCAAAATGGGAGGGATTTGCATCCTATTTTAATGTCAGGAAATTTCTATTATATATATATATATATATATATATATATATATATATATATATATATATATATATATATATATATATATATATAATTATATAAATATTTATATAATATATAATATGACTGTGGACACACTATACCTACACACAGTTCTGTACAAGCAGCTTATAAAAGATTTTTATCATAGGTGCCCTTTAAGGTATTCACTCATGTTTTAAAAATTGCTGTTAGTTGATGTTATCAGACATCAACCACTAGTATTTTCCAGCCTAGTCAGTTACTTTTTAAGACTGGATGACCAACCTAAACCAGATAATAACTGTAAAATTTCTCTTGTGGATTTTGATAATTCAAGATAATTGAATTACAGAAGTAAAACTAAACTGCATAAAATAACTATTAGTTCTAACTCTCTGCTGCACGCATTGAGTGCACAGTTTATTTTCTTTTCTTTTCTTGCCCTTAAGTTTTTGTTTCAGCTCAGTCATCAGTGCTAAATCATGCAGCACATAGTTTCAGTTCACTTGAGAGTGTTTTTGGCTCATGCGTGTGTCATGATCTTTCCCCTCAATCACTTTCCTCATTCATCCAACATTCCCCTCTTTTTTTTCTGTTTACACATAGGAATGTGAAATATAAGGACCCACTGCAAGGGAGAGGAAAGGGATTTTCCCTCTCTGATCCATCTCTTCCCTTCATCGCTCCCTCTGCTCATTCATTTCCGACTCCTCTTTTCCTTTCTCTATTTCTCTCCCTCATCCTCTTCCAAACAATTACTCTTGAAACTTTTAATAGTTGTTTATTAGCCAATTCACTGGAAAAGAACAACAACACTACATTTTCTCTCTATTATGTGACGTTTTTCCTATATAATTTCCTCTTTCAGGGCTTGCCTAAAGAGGATGTGAGTGTGTTTTATCCATCACCATACCTAAGTTAAATTTGTAACTGCGCACAAAATTAGACTGATTAAAGCACAAAGAAAAACCCATCAAATGTTAAATGTGTGGTAACATGTCTTTCAGCACATACACACAAAAATCAGATGAGTGATGGTTTGGTGACTCAGACAGGATTCAGGGAAATTTGAGCGTTGTTTTCATAGGAAGGGAGGGCCAAAGGCATTGTGACACCAGAGGAATTCCTGTCTTCATCTCGTTGTACTTTTTTTTTTCGCTTTACTGTGCCTTACTGGAACATCCTCCCTCCTGTGTCAAACTAACCTCCTCTGTTTGTTTAGCCTACCTTCAGCTTCACCTGCTACCAGGCCTTAACTGATGCTAATCTTTAGCAGGCATCATTAAAAACCACAAATCTATTCTTATCTCTCAAATTTCATTTCTTCAATAAAAAACACAGGCAGTAGATTACTGGGCTCACATGTAGGATTTAGATGGTTATATTAGCAAAACAGCTCACTTCCAGCGTGTATGTAATGTATATTTTTTGTCTGAATGCACTGTGGAGCATTTTGCTTTTAGGAACAGTCAAGTGACTTGCGTACTTGTTTTCTTTGACTGAGGTGAATGCTTTTATTAAAGAAACTAGTGTGTTTTGTCATCTTGACTCTCAGTTTTTGTCTGTGAGGCTTGGTGGTTTCCTGTCAACAATGTAAGTTTTTCAGCGTAAAAATCTACCTCGGGTGAATGAAAAAAAAGTCTAGTTAGACCAAGATTAGGCAACAATTTACACATGCATGGACATACTGCGATTAGTGTAATTCATTAATCACACTATGAAATAACACAAAGAAATAAACATAAACAAAAATCAGTGATCCTGTACAATTGATAGTTATAACATGCTCTTTAAATTCTTGACTCTGATTGGCTGGAAAGTTTTCAATGCGTTCGTTTAATGCACAGTAAGTTCCAAGTTTTGATCACTGTTTGCAATAAATGTGTTTCACTAAAACATTAGTAGTAACCATAGCATCTCAGTGAAAGTTGTTGCATTTCCGCCGGTTTCTGCCTCCAAATGAGCAAGTTTGAACCACTTTTACATTTAAGGAAGTGTTCAGAAAAAACAAAACACCAGCAAATAAACTGCCAACTAGCGTGTGGAAGGGTTATTGCAGAGCAACAGAAAAAGCGTGCAGAAGTATGAATGCACAGCTACACGCGTTGCATGCGCCGTGAGTCACGCCGATCACTTGACACAGAAGCACAAACCAAGCTTCACACGTGTTACAATGAGCTATTAGATATCCCTGTGTCATTTACATGCACACACATTCTCTTTCTTGCACACGCTCACTTTCTGTCGACTTGTGACTTATTAATGTGTACTACACAAGCAATAGGAGATCCTCCTCTTCGCGTTGAGTTTACTTACTTTACCTTCAATTGCACTGACAATTTTTATTACTCAATTGAGTTTTTGCTTTTTCTTAATTGGCATACCATTTCCCATACCATGCAATCATGTTAAAACTCACAACACTTTCAACCAAGTTCTTGAATACCATCTCCAGTATGTTTGACTCACGCCAAATTGTTGTAAACTCCTAATGAGATATAATCTCTGCATTGCATTGCAATCTCTGCACATATAAATTGTTTTTAAACATTTACCTTAACCAATTATAATCCAATGAATCATTTTGTTCAGTGCAGTTTAAAAAGTTACTTTTATTTACAGAATATTGCCATTTTAAAATCATATATATTGTTTAGGTTTGACATGTAAATTGTGGTACAAAACCAGGTAATAAGCTACCAGTACATGAATTTTTTATTTTACAGATTTTTTATAGTTTAACCAATATCAACCAATAGTTATAATATATTAATAGTAATAACCATTAGTAGCATTATTGATCAAAGATATTCCGTGATTGAATGTGACAAGACAAGAAATCTGTTTTGAGCATATTTGGCTTTGGTTGTACATGTTTGTTTGTGTGTGTTGAATAAATCACCCGGGGGCTGTTTACTATGGGGCGTTAGCCCAGCTTTATCTCACTATGATCATATCTGTGGAACTGACCTTTAACCTGCTAAACGGGTTCTAGGTTAACAGCTATGGTTACAGGAATCCACACCAGGATGTGACTCAACCTATCTGCCCAAATAAACCTGAACACCTTATCAGACATCAGAGTGGTAGATTCCTGTGGTACATCGCTTAAATATTGACCTGCAGTAAAAGCCCTGTCACATTTTTATCGTTATACCTGAAAAAAGGGTCTGTTTATCCTGTTAGGGCTTAGTGGCCACATACGTGGACAGCACTTTAAGGACATCTCTTAAGTGGCTACTTAAAAACTTTGAATATTTTATATTTTGTTACAGACATACAGTGTCATCCTACAACTGTTTTGCAACATATGAAATGTCCCAAACACTATTTTAACTGTCCAAAATGGGGAATTTTTTTGTTTTTACCCTCTGATAGTCAAAACATGTTAAAAAAATATTAATATGTTATATATGCATTAAAAACAGTCAGGAAAAAGAGTTTATGTAAATTCGGACCACGAGTCCACATATATGGAGATAATTTTTCCCTAAAAGTACATCATATAAAAAGATGATACTTTGGTATTTATTCTAATTAGGTTCCAAAAAGCCCAAATAGCGAAGAAATGAATATGCATGTAAAAAACACCTTGGGTCTTTAGAGGTTAATATATTGATATGTTTATTCATTAAACTTTATTTCTCTCTTTCAGACTCCTTTACATTTGGCTGTAATCACGCATCAGCCTGCTGTGGTGAAGGCTCTCCTGGATGCAGGATCAGACCCTGGAGCTCTGGATCGTAACGGACAGACTGCACAGCATTTGTGCTGTGAGCACGGAGAGGCTGAATGTCTCTCCATTATCCTCAGACACTACTCACACAACAACCCGTCCCACGTGGAGATCAGGAATTATGAGGGTAAGTGCAGGTCATGTGTTGCACACTGATAATGAAAGGGATAGTTCACCCAAAAATGAAAATTTACACTGTTTATTCACCATTAAGTGGTTCCAAGTCTTTATGAGTTTCTTTTTTCTGTTGAACATAAAAGAAGTAAAACAAACTAGTAACCATTGACTTCCATAATAGAAAAAAAATCTAATTCTGTGGCTTTTTGAACTGGTTTTCTAAATTCTGTGTTCCACTGGGGGGCAGTAAAGACACTTTAGGCATGTTCAAGCATCAATGTGTGAATATGTTTAGGATTTTTTGTTTCTTATCAAGAAGTAAAAGGTATAATGGCTTCTAGTCTGTAATATTTGAATTATTATTAATTAAGAATTTATTTATTTTATGATTTATTTGTGTTTAGTGCTGGGCAAAGATTAATTACTATTAAGCTCACAAAATAACAGTTTGTATATACATAATATATTTGTGTGTGCTGTGTATATTTATTATATATAATACACACTATATCTATATACAGTGCTCAGCATAACACCCCATTTTGAAAATTTATATTTTTATCCATTTCTCAGTGAATAAAGACAATATACTTTGCTGTGTTTAAACAAAACAAATGTATTAAACAGATATATTTATTAAAATATTTAAGTCACTAAAAGATAGATTTGTGAGGGGTGTACTTATATATGCTAAGCTCTGTGTGTGTGATGCCAATTATATATAAATGTACATATCTATGTAAATATATAATACACACACCTATATTACAGTAAAAGGAAACTTTTATTAGATGCGATTAGTCTTTGCCCAGCACAATGTTTATATCTTGTGGCAAAATAATTCTCTTTTGTAATAGTAATCAGATAACCTCTAAAAAGGTTTAATTTAGTCTAATTTAGTTAAGTAAACAGTTGGCCTATACATTATTCATGTGTATGAAATGTAACATGAGACACTTCCTGCTGCTTTTATGATTCAAAAAGTCCCTAAAACAAAGGGAGGAGGTGTAATAGTGTTTTGTGTATTTGTGACATGTCAAAACATGTCTCAGTCAGTCATTCAAATTACAATCTGAAGATTTGCTTGACCAATTGCAGGTCTGACGCCCCTCCACCTGGCTGTGCAGAATGGAGATCAGACGCTGACAGGAATCTTACTGGACAGCGGAGCTGAAATCAATGCTGGGGTCAGTCAATTCATCACCATATCATCAGATATGCTGAATGCGTTTACTGCAAGCTTTATTTGTTCACTGTCTCTCTTTTATTCTTTCATCACAGGATAATAAAAGTGGTCGCAGTCCACTGGTTCATGCTGTGGAAAACAAGTCTTTAGACATGGTCCTATTACTGATCGAGGTACGTGTGCACATATTTGTTTTTTTAAACTTCACACATCAAAGCAGATGAGTCAGCTGTTCAGTTGATCATCACTTTTGTCATAATCTGTTTCAGTTTTGTTTTGTTCATTTCTGTTGTGAAGACACCCCCTGTTGTTTTTTACACCTCCAATTTTAAAAAGAACACACTTGTTACATTTGTGGAGATGGTACAATCTTAAGAGGTGCCAAACTAACACATATGACTCCCTTCTCTGGATGTTCACATATCCAAATATGAATTAGACTTCTGTTGAAAACTGGAATGTCAAATAAAATATTTAAATTGCATAAAAGCACTGTTTTATTCCAATGAGTCAAAGAGAACAATATAGTGCCAAATACTAAAAAGAAAAATGGAACTTCCTGCATTAGGAGAAATGGCTGTGGGGCTTTTATGATCAAATATTGCATCTCCGAAGAATGCGTGGCGGCTTTTGGAGGCCTGAGACAAAAAATGCTTTTCTTATGCTTTAGCCTTGTTTCTAGTCCAAATATCTAAACATTCCTTTATTAAGAAGCCATTCCTATACATGTGAAAGATATCTTTTCTTGTTTTGAGAAATAACAAGTCAACATTGAGTGATTTGATTCTTGAAACAATCTAAATAATCTACCTGTAGGTTTAAAGTAAAATAATCTTGCTCTCAGAGTAAAATAAGAATATTTTACATATCCCAATGGCAGATCATTTAATTTCTATCAAAGGGAACCTATGATGAAAATCATCTTTTTGTAAGCTGTTTGGACAGAACTGTGTAGGTACGCGTACGTGAACTTCATAACGACATTGTGAGTGACTCATCGTAGCTGCTCCACAACAAATACATAGAATGATCATTGAAAAAGTTCTTACTGTAGTATTTTTCACAAACATTACATGAGATCTGGTTCCTTCATGTCTGTCACTGTGGTGTTTATCGGACGCAGCCGAGGCGGAGATTAAAGTACACTTTGACAGGCACATGGGAACGGTGGGTGGGGAGAACTAGCATTAAAGGCACAGGCAACAATAACAGCTACAGTGTGTCCAGAGCAGAAATTCAGTATTCTGAAAGGTATAATAAGTAATCTGATGGGTGTTTTAAGCTGAAACTTTACAGACACTTTCTTGAGACACCAATGTCTTATCTCAAACCTTTAAAAAGGAGTAAAATAGGTGCCTTTTAAAGGAAAAAGTTCTTAATTTTGACTTATTATTTCTTAAAAGAAATCAACATTTATACTTGCTTCTTGATTTATGAATTTTTAGACATTTAGACTTGAAAGTAGACAAAAACATGAAGTAAGAAACACATTTTGCCGTGTGTGAGTGCAGCTGCTCAAGACAGTTCTGGCAGGTAATTATACTGAGACACTTTGGTGATAGACTTTGGTTAAGAGACTTTAGAATAGTCAAAACAACATTTGAGGTATTTTAAAATGTGGTGATTTTGCTGGTTTGTCCATTAATACATCAAATAATGGCCATTTTTATCATCACATGATCTATAAAACTTTTTTTTTTATGCACAAGCTGGAATTTATTCAGTAAATGTGTTTCCATTGTAGTTTATGTAAACAAATGTATGCAGATCTTGGCATTTCCATTAAGCATTTTAAAGTGATATTCCATTATGTGCATAAAAATAGGTGGATGGAATATTCATAGGTGAATATTTGTATCTCATGTATAGAAATATAGAAATATATTTATATATCATTCAAAATATTGTCTTGTGATTAGATTGAACCAGATTTTTTTCATGAATAAATGTGAATAAACACTCTGACCCTGCATAGTCTTTCCAATCCTAGTAACCAATCACCTTTCCAAATTAAAACATTTATCTCATATCTTGAGATGTCACTGCTTTTCTCATAGAAAGGCTAAACTATTCTCAATAAATGTATCATTCATATTACTGTTATCAGCAATGTGTAACCTAACATCTCAAAAAGTGTGTTTGGGGGTTTCGTGACCCTTTAATGTTGAACTGTTACTCATTCATGTTTACAACAGAAGCAGTTATGGATGTTCACAATATGTCGTTGTGTGTGTTTCAGCGTGGGTGTGATGTGAACGCGCAGTCCTACAGTGGGAACACAGCGTTACACAGCGCCTGTGGCAGGGGTCACATCGAGATGGTTAGGGTCCTGCTGAAGAACGGAGCTGACAGCAGTCTGAAAAATAACCACAACGACACTGCCATCATGGTAGCAAAAAACAAAAAGGTACTATCTAAAAACATGGCATCAGTGGCTTTTGGAAATGTGCTGTGTATTTATTATTACTAGTCTTACCTATGGATGCTTTAAAATCATGTATACTGTAAAGTGTTTTATCTGCATTGCAGTTTGAAACAAATTAAGGAAAGTTGCCTTCAGTAGTGTAAATGCATTATGCAAACACTGTCAGCAAGTGGTGATTCACAAAACTTTCAGTCCTCAGTGTTGCTTCATATCAAAAACAAGCTTAAACTCTTACAATAATTGTGGTTTGATGCTCCAATGAGAGAAAAAGAAGTTTAATAAAGTGATAAATAAATAAATCACTCTTTACAAAAAGTTTTCATTAATGTATTCACTAAAATGAACTAATAATGAGCAATACTTGTACAGCATTTATTAATCACAGTTCAACATTTATTAACACATTATTATGATCCAAATTCATGTTTGTTAGCGTTAGTTAATGCACTGTGAGTTAACATGATCTAATATTTACCAACTTTATTTTCGTTAGCTAACATTAACAAAGATGAAGGATTACTGTAATGAATGTGCTCTTCATTGTTTGTTCATGTTAGTAAACTAACCTGTGTTACTATAAAATTATATACTGCAACCTCACATTACCCACAATCTCACAATATAACTCTGTGTATACAGTTGAAGTCAGAATTATTAGCCCCCTGAATTATTAGCCCATTTATTAGCCAAATTTCTGTTTAACGGAGAGCAGATTTTTTCGATACATTTCTAAACATAATAGTTTTAATAACTTATTTCTAATAACTGATTTATTTTATCTTTGCCATGATGACTGTAAATAATATTTTACTATAATATAATATTTTACATTTCTATACAGCTTAAAGTGACATTTAAAGGCTTAATTAGGTTAACTAGGTAGGTTATGGTAATTAGGCAAGTTATTGTACAACAATGGCATAACAAGTTGTATAACAATTGTTCTGTAGACTATGGAAAAATATAGCTTAAAGGGGCTAATAATTTTGACCTTAAATCTTTTTCAAAATTAATAACTGCTTTTATTCTAGCCGAAGTAAAGCAAATAAGACTTTCTCTAGAAGAAAAAAATATTGTCCAAATTTCCCTGCTCTGTTAAACATCGTTTGGGCAATATTTAAAAAGAAAAAAAATTCAAAGGGGCGCTTATAATTCTGACTTCAACTGTAGATCCAGGATGAGATGTGCCATTGAGTGTCTGAATTGATTTTATTTATTTAGAAATAAGATGATATGCAAGAAAACTTTGTTGTTTTGAATAATTAAAATATTGGTGAAAATAAGTCATTGGCATACAAATATATTTGTGTAAGAATGAAACACATTTATTTTAACTTTTACTCATTAAAATATCTGAAAGAAAATGTGATCTACAAAATGTTAATTTGTAAAAAACTATAACTACTATTACACTGTAAAAAGTGATGTTTCCTTTTTTGTAAACCTGCTGCTTTTAAAGCAATAAGTTGACCATACTTTAAAAAATGTGAGTAAACCAATTGCTTTCAATATTATTAACTAAATTGTCTATGCACATGATTATAAAAATGAAGTCAACTTAACCATTCCAGATTACAAAAGGTTCACTCCTTTTTTAAGTAAAGTAAAAATAATTGAGTAAACAAATGAGTTTAACAAATGAGTAAAACCTAGTGGTTTTAACAATAGTGGCAAAGTATAAAGATTTTAAATGACATCTAATTAGTATTTGGATGAGGCAGTGGCGCAGTAGGTAGTGCTGTCGCCTCACAGCAAGAAAGTCGCTGGGTCGCTGGTTCGAACCTCGCAAACTCCACACAGAAACGCTAACTGAGGCATGTTCTCCCTGCCTTCGCGTGGGTTTCCTCTGGGTGCTCTGGTTTCCCCCACAGTCCAAAGACATGTGGTACAGGTGAATTGGGTAGGCTAAATTGTCCGTCGTGTATGAGTGTGTGTGTGAATGTGTGTGTGGATGTTTCCCAGAGATGGGTTGCAGCTTGAAGGGCATCCGCTGTGTAAAAACTTGCTGGATAAGTTGGCAGTTCATTCCGCTGTGGCAACCCCGGATTAATAAAGGGACTAAGCCCAAGAAAATGAATGAATGAATTAGTATTTTTGCACTTTGCTGACCTTAGAGTCTTTTATTTAATATCAGATATCATACATGACTTCACATCATTATACATGCAATGGGCTATATGCACAGTAAACTTCCGGTAAAAGGTTAATGTGACTATTTTAAAGTTAATAAGGTTCCTTTTACAGCATCGACATCATTATGTGACTAAAATACAATCAATTCAATTCATGTTTATTTATATAGCACTTTTCACAATGTAGATTGTGTCAAAGCAACTTAACACAGTTCTAGTAAAGTCCAGACTTCAGAGTTGAAGTTCAGTTAGGGTTATTTCAGTGTGGTTTAAGTTTCACTGCTGAAAGTCAAACATGTGGGCAATTCCACCGAAGCTCAGCTCCACAAGTCCCAATCCAAGCAAGCCGGTGGTGATGGTGGCGAGAAAATAATTCAATTGACAAGGTAAAAAGGAAAAAAAAATTCAGTTAAATAAACTTAAGCATTCATTTAGTTCTTCAAGCATAAAACGAGATGAACGTGTGAACTCTAGAACCATCAGTGGGGTGGGGGGTGTGGCGTAGGAGTTAAAGCAGTGCACTTTATTTTGTATATCTATCAGGCAGTGAAGATCACTGATTTTTAAAGAAAACAGATCTTAAGCGTGGTGATTTTGTAATGGAAAGACAGTTTACCGGAAGCCATCGGGCTGGCTGGCTGATAATTAAAAGTCTGTGTGCGTATACCCCATTGTATGAAACTCATTCACTATTTATTAACCCTCAACTGGTTTCAAACCTTTATGTGTTCCTTTATTCTGTTGAATAGCAAAGAAGAAACTTTGAAGAAAGCTGAAAACCTGCCACCATTGACATCCACAATGGGAAAAACAAATATGGAAGTCAATGGTTACAGGTTTCCAGCTTTATTCAAAATATCCTCTTTTGTGATCACCAACAGAAAGAAACTCAAACAGGTTTAGAACAAGTAAAGGGTGAGTAAATTATGACATAATTTTACATTTCAGGCACTTTAACTGACTTCTAGAAGTGCCCTTCATAATATTTGCTCTAATTTGAAATGTCCAAATGCCATACCATTACCATAGAGCCCTTCAAGGGTGCAAAAATTTTGTTTGAAATACAGAGAAAGAGATCATTAATTTTGAACCCTGCTAAGCTAGTGTTCGGTTTTGTCTGAAGGTGTCTGATGTGCTGCGTGGAAAAGGCACTCGCAGCTTTACTGGGAAAACAATATCTAGCAGCAATGGTGAGTTCTTCTCTGAAAGTGCAAGAGTACATTTATTTCTAAACAAGGTTTACATTTTTATTCATTCTTGGCTCTCTTGTTTAGGCTCTCTGTCCCCTAGCAGCTCCAGCCACTCTCCCCGGATGACTCCCACGTTTCAGGGCAGCGCTTCACACTCTCCTGTGACTCCAGTTTTACCCCGCAGTCAGTCAGTGGAGAGCATTTCAGAACGCCACTCGCCATTGAACAGCAATGATAAAGCACTTTTCCAAATGCAGACACTCCACAGTTCACCAGTGGACAACAGGGCAGGCTACGGATTCCATAACCTTGCATATCTTTCCCCATCCAGGTATGACCACATCAAGCCAGCTGTCCATAGAAGGACACTTATCGCTTCCCCTTATTACTATGGTCCTGGATTTCCAAGACCTCCGTATTATTCAGACGCACCATTCATTTTAGTCCCCAGTTTGCCTTTGCAGGCCGCATTTATCTCTCCACAGGGGACCATCAACCAATCACGGCCCTCAAGTCACAGCAGTGACCAATCAGACATATCTACTGTGAGTGTCAACAGTGAAGAAAGAGGTGTGAGTTGATAGCTGCGGGCATCTTAGAAGAGATGTATTGTATATTCATCCAAAAATAGGAATGACCTGTCAACACATTCGTTCAGCATTGTGTCTCTTTAAACTTGACTGAAGTGGAACACACAGCTAAAATTAAAAGCAGCCACCAAAATTGTTTGTTATAAAAATTACAAATAAAAACGCACAACATGAGAGTGTGTAAATAATGATTGATTTAGGGTGAATTGCCATTTGAATTAATGTTGATAGAATTTTATTTGTGGTTGGAGGATATATTGACTGATTTATAGCATTTTTTGTGGATCTCAACATTTTTCTTATTTGAGTTCTTTTTAAGTCATGCCAAATCTATACCATGTTGCTATATATTTGTGTTACTGAGTGTTTTGCTAATAATTAAAAAGATTGATGTAATGTTATACTGAATGTAAAGACCTATATTTATACTTCCACAGCAAAAAGCAAACTTAGCATTTAATTCTGCATTGTTTCAGTTGAGGTTTTCTTGTTTTCCTTGTTATATTTGTGTGTATTGACATCGTTTTATTCATATTTTCCAGATTATAGTTACTCAAATTGATACAACAGAGATTTTCCTATTGCATTCATGTTTTGTAAATACTTTATTCTCAAATATTGTGTTCTGCATTGTATTATTTAGGGTAGACAAAACAGCCGGTATCAAACATGTACAAAGTAATAAATATCAGCATGTATGGGTTTATCTTCAACAAACGGGGTGTCGTTGTGAATTACAGTCAAACATGCAATGCTTGTTTTTAGTTCTGTTGTTTAATCACTTGTGATAATGTACACAAAATCCCAACATTGAGACTACGTGGCACTTTTGTTTTAATGCAAGCCTTTGAATGGCAGCTTGGAATCCTTGTCTGATGAAGTTTGGTGACAGACCAATGCATGGTTTAAAATGGATGTAGAAAAGGAGTAGTGTGGAAAAGGAGTAATGCAGAATATAAAGCCATTACCAGAATCTTGAGAAACTGATCAAATCCAAAAAAGGGCTTTCATATGAATTTGAGGTACTCACTGGTGGTGTTTCTGACAGTTATGCGAATGTATGAATTTTGATTTTCATATAATTATGTGATTATAATTGCAAAGGTGTACAGTTGCCTATAGGAATAAAAATACATATTTTTATACATACGTGACATTATTTGTGTGATTATTTCTTCTGTGTATAAGCACTTTTGAAACCAAATTGTCATTGTTGGATGTTATGCCTAGGAGAAAGCAGGACGCAAGTAACGTTGGACGAAAGTAACGAAGGAATTTTCCCGAATCCCTGACAACATTTGCTTTCCAGGCTATAACAGCACATTCAGCATGCAACCCTGGATAGAGCTGCCAAATCTTCAATTCAGTTCATGTTTATTTCTATAGCACTTTTATAATTTAGATTGTGTCAAAGCAGCTTAACTTAAGTTGTAGTGAACTGAAACTGTGTCAGTCTAGCTTTCAGAGTTGATGTTTAGTTTAGTTTAGCTCAGTGTGGTTTTAATTTCACTGGTGAAAGTCCAAATACAGAAGAGCAAATCTATCGATGTGCAGCTCCACAAGTCTCAAACCAGGCAAACAAGCGAAGAACAAACTTCACCAATTGACGAAAGTGAAAGGAATAAAAATCATGAAGGAAACTAGGCTCAGTTGGGCACGACCATTTCTCCTCTGGCTAAACTTCTTGTGCAGAACTGCAGTCTAGGCTTAGGAGGCTGGAGAACACTGGACATCCATCGTGGAAAACTGCAGGTGTGAGTAGCTCACCGGTGGGTGTTCAGGCTGGCCCACGGAATCAATGCAAAGACTTGTCTGTCACTGTGGTCTTTCAGGAATTAGTCTCATGCTCTCCACTCATTCATTACTGCCACAGCATCAGCTCAGGATATGGCCTGGTCCAGGATTATAGATACCTTGGCATCAATTATCATGTGATTTTGGGACCGTGTCCTGCGGATAGGTCTGAATTTCAGTTTTTATGTGCAGAAAGTAAATTATTGTAGCAAATGTTTTTTTTTTCCTATTGCAAGTTGTGATTCTCTTTTCAAGCATCACACTAATGATCAATCTACAGCTTAGTGCAGTAACAGATCCTTAAGTTTGCAATCTCTGCGTTTTTTGGTTTAAAAGTAAATCAGGTTCAAATGGCAAGTTCTGTGGAGTTCTGTGAGGAAAAAAGTTCTTAATGTCTCACTGCAAAAAGCCATAGCTTATTTTTCACATCTACATTAGAATTTGCAGTGTTTTGATTCATATGTTTTATAAAGTTAATGCATATTACTAATAATAATAATAAAATATTCATAAATTGTAGATAATTGTAACATTATGCATTGCTGGATGGCTTTTAAAACACAAAAAACATTTGATGGAGCTGAAATCTAAAATGAAAATGCAGTTTAATATTTTTTTCAAAAATAAAGGACAAAATTTGTTTGCAGTTAGCATTAACAAGGTCATAGTCAGATATATTTAAAATAAGGATTAAGCTAGTAAACTTAGCAAATATTTTGCTACTTTTGACTTTTTTACCCATATGTTACTTTTGTCTCTATACTGACAGCGTCAAAAGTAACAATGTGCAAATTATGTGAAATTATTTTGAATTATTAATTCTGTTTAGAACATTATCTTTTAAAAATAGGTACTTATGGAAAATGATACTTTTGTCCCCGCTCTCCCCCATCGGATCACATTTTAAAAATCTTTAGCAACTTTCACACATGTTATAATTTACAAAACGTTTCAAATGTTTTTTTTATATGTAATTGTTTAATATTTGACCAAATGTGGACTTTCAGTCACACTATAAGTTATATTTAAAAAGTGTTTTTAAAAAGCCTCAGGGCCAAAGTGCCCATGCAGAACTACGATGGTGGCTTTTATAACAGTACCGCCCACCGAATTCAAACTCTGCCATCTGATTGGTCGGTTTCGTTTCGTGCGTTTACGTCCTGCGAGATCGATTCAGCGCACGGCCATGTTAAATCTCTAGACGGAAGAGACAAAGCCACAGCAACAAAGAATATCTCAAGAAACGTTCGAAGAATTATCAAATCCACGAAGACTCAAATCCTTCAAAATTAGGAGGTAACGTTGTCTGACGTAAATTTAGTTGAATTAGCATTCATCATTCCCAATGTGCACAGCGAGTCTGTCTTGCTCGCTTATTAGCATAACGCTAAGCTAACCTGTCCTAACAATGTACCGCTAGCAGGTTGAACTAGCATGTGTTAAATAGCGTGTTTTAATTTTGTTTGTCGATCTTTCAACTCCGTTAACTAAGTTTCCTCACTCTCCGTGAAAATTACTTTCATTATAGTTTCACTTCCATAATGTTTGTAACTGTTAAGGTGAACTGTTTATTTAAATCTAATACTAGAAAAGTTTGTCGATAAACCACCATTGTGGCTCTTGTCGGCTAACTCGCTTAGCTCCTCAAACAACTCGCGGACACTTTTAGATCCCGATCTGTTCCTTAAACCTTTCAAAAATTAGCGAAGGGCTTTAAATCAAATTTGAATTAAGGCAGACGTGATATTAATCAGATTTATTAGTTAAATCCCAGGTGTTTCCTCACTTTTGACGAGTTTGAAACTGTTAGCTAAACGTGGGTGTCTTTTTAAATTAGTCTTAACATTGATACTATGAACTAAGTTATTATTAACGCAGAACTGTACTGTGTATTCTTAGTTTATTTTAATGTTCTCTGATGTTTTTAATGATAAACTGAAATAAAACCTTTGTTTGGCCACAAAAATTGTTCGTCCTTGATATGGTAACGTACTGATTTCTCTTTGTATAACTTTCACATTTGGCAGGTGTTCCAGAAATTTCTCCACTGAAGTGTTTAGGAACTGTGACAGTAAAGTGAGGAAAAACGAGACCTCGCCAAGTAAAGAGTGGATACATTTATGGACTGTTAACTTAATTTTGGACTCATAATCCTGCATTGACTTTCTGCTTGAAATCCCTCGGTGTCAGCAGAGTTTTTCAGCAGGTTAAATAGGAGCAATTGACACCGAGCAAATTCCTCACAACGAAGAGAATACAATAATTTTTAAGAGCACATTAAGAACCTTTTGCTGAGCCTTGTGCTTTTGAATGTAAATACTTACAATTTTTTTTGGATACCAAAAGGACTACAGAGGGTACGAAAGGATTTTTGCAATCCAGCTGTTTAAAAAAAAAAAGAGAGAGAGAAAAAAATGAACACTTTGGAATTTTTCAGGGATAACATAAAAGTGACTTTTTGAGAAGCATTAATAGATTGCATATTTGAAATCCTTGTGCAAGACTTGAATTTTACAAGTACTTGTTTCCTAGTTATTTTCTACGCCGACTCTAGACTTGTGATATATTTATTCATATAAATATAATTTTCTCCTTTTTTGGGAGAGCTTATTATAAACAATTGTTATACGCCAGGCTCTCTTCTTTTTAAGAGGTCTGTACGTACATAACTGTTTACACAAAAGCGCATTGAGCGTAATCGTAAACAGTTAAGCAAAGAGCTGAAAAAGTAGCAAAAATTAATTTGATTGAAAGTGTTGAAGAAAACATCTGACAATGGCTACAGCGAGAACTGAGATCCCTGCTTCAGTCATGCCAGTGACCAAACAAAATGGACAGGCCAAGCCCATGAGCCTTCAGACGGGATCTTTTTCTTCCTCAACACCATCAGGAAAGACACCTGTGATGCCCCAGAAAGGAAGCAGCATACCCCAAAGCAGTGGCGGTATCAGGTAATCTTCATGTAAAATATGGACTGAACTTTGTTTCTTTTAACATTGATTGATCATCTTGGTTGAGCTGTTTGTAACACATAATGTATAAAATTACTTCCATGATCTACATTTTGTAGGTTTGGAGATGACTGGAAGAAGTGCCTGCAGCTTCCACCAAAAGACACAAGAGTGAGAACTACAGTAAGTTCTGAAGATTTTCTTGTTAGAATCATTTTGATTTGTTTGTGTGTGTGTGTTTGTTTTTTTCAGTTTTTGACCTTTCACTTTTTGACAGGATGTGACCGCAACCAAGGGGAACGAGTTTGAAGATTACTGCCTTAAGAGGGAACTGCTGATGGGCATATTCGAGATGGGCTGGGAAAAGCCTTCCCCTATACAGGTAATCTATTGTGTCCGCTGTTAGAAATTGACCACAGTAGTAGTGGTACTGGAACTTCTAACTTTGTTGCTATACCTTGAAAAATATCAATATTAGATACCATTTTTCAAGGGTGTATATTTGCTCATGACATTGATGGAGACATACATCCCTAGAGCTGTATTTAACAGCACAAATTCTGTTTTATAAAAACATGAATAAAGTACTTAATAATAAAAAATAAACACTAATAATACAATTAGCAATTGTGTTCCTTGCAGCAAAAGTCTATTTACATGATTTTACTGCAGTCGGTCTTTTAGGATGTATGAATGTAGAGAAATTTAGAAATGTGTGTGACGCAATGTTACTGTTTTATTCCGGTAATTGTTTCTCATAATCATGGAGGCTAAAATCAAAACCGAATTTCGATAAATTGCACAGCGTTGGTTAATAGTATCACTGTAAACTTGTAGCAAACTTGACTGTGCATGTGTAGGTTACTAAGGGTTGACTGAGCATTATTGGATTTTGAAGTCGATTAAATTATTGGTAGTGACAATTCAGTTATTGATGGGGACACGTCCCCTCCGTCCATGCCAATTCTACGCCCTTGCGCTTTTGTTACTGTAAGAAAACCACACCAATTAATTAATATTAATAATAATATTACGCCTACAGGAGTGTATCAAATGTGTTTGTTTAAGCCAACTCTTTGTCCAAAACCGAATATTACAACGTCGGCCTGACATTTTGGCTTTTAACTGAGTGAAAAGCTCAATTAGTTGCTGCAGAAAGGTCCCTGTGAACATGCGGTCATACATGGAATGAGGTCTCATTTTGCTCTCGCTTTCATCCAGCTATCAAAGCACAAAAATGTTGCGAAACTGCTAACAGTTAGGATAGCTGAAGCCTTTGCAAAATCTGTCACATACCACACTGGAAGTAATTGGTATAAATGTTTTTGTGACAAAAAGGCTATCTAGTTGAGGAGATCTATAAAAACACAATCAGAGCCTAACTGTGCGTTCACACTGAAAGCGGTGAC